TCCCTGCACCAGGATGTCTGAGAAGACCACCAATGGTATTCTAATGGAGATTGGTGGAGTTTCATCCAGTGCTTGGACACAGGGCTGAATTTTTTTTTTATTGAGAAAAGGGACACCGACCAAACAGGAAGGACACATACAGGGAGGTCAGGGCACTGACATGAGCCATTTTGACTAATAGGTAACAGTGTTGTTGTTGTTGATGCACAACTGCTGCTAGAAAAAATATTTGATTTTTCAGTGCAGATGAAAAATTCCCAGTGAAGCTTTTTGAGACGTAACCATGTAAGTGACTGTGTGACTGCGTTGGTTCTGGCCTCTGTGCAGCATTCTGCAAAAATAAATGAGAGACAATTAACATATGGAGGGTCAGACGAAGGGGCAGCCAACCTCCCAGGTGCTCTGAGAATTTACTGCAGGTCAGTGCTTTGGTTGATCTTTGGCTTAAGCTGACTTTAAACCAAATCCCAGCTGATGGTGGCGTGTTGGCTTCCAGATCAGAAAATCTGTCAGCACCAGAGGCTCATTAAAAACAGACTTTCAGAATGCTTTAAAGCAAAAATAGACCTTAAATTAAGACGAAAGCTCATAGACTTACATTTTTGTCACACTTATTCCTGCAGTTTCTGCTGAACTTAAACTAGATATGACATGATAATGGAGTTATACGGTAACATCAATAATAACAAATGCAGATGTAGAATTTTCAAGGAAAATCAGTTGCAGACACAAATAGGTTATTTCAGCAGATTAACTACTAACTCGTTAACTGATGAAAAACTGAAGTACTGAATGAAAAATCATAAATTTCCATGAAGTGATTCTGCTTATTCATCTACAGCATTGTCTTTGTTGGTCCAATACAAACATGTATTAAAGAGACGGACATTAAATCTGTGACTGTGGATACAGTTAGATCATCTCTCTTAGTATCGTCCAGTCGGCCTTTTAAAGGACTAAATGCAATGCAATGTGTTTGGTCAGGCTGCAAGGTGGTGCAGTTAGTACCACTGTTGGTACCACTGTTGGTACCACTGTTGGTACCACTGTTGCCTCGCAGCAAGAAGGTCGCCGGTTCGCGTCTTTCTGCGTGGAGTTTCACAAGGTGAAGATGCTGACCCCCTGTTCTGGGCTTGATTTGTAGATGCTGTGTAGATGGAAAACATGCACAAATCATAGCTCCTCCAAAGTCCTGCAGCAATTACAACTCTTCTAACGATGAATCATAAAAGTGTGAATGAGGGAGAATCTCTTGGCAAATTCTCTCCTCATGCGTCATTTGTTTGAAGCACTAATTGTTTTCCTGTTTGTAGTATTTGTCGTGCAGACGCTCTGCTTGGTCACACCTTGTTGGGCTGCGTGCAGATGGTCCGCAATGGCTGCGAATTTTGGTGGTTGACACAATTTACATCACACCTTAAAGTCAATTCATGCTCTCTGTGCAGCAAGAGTCCACGTCTTTGAAGAAACATGTGATGTAAATTCTGTCGTCCACCCACAAACTGGCGCTGCAGCTGGAGCACACCAGCTCACCTGTGACTCTGCTCAAATGCTGCAAGAGCTAATTCATACTTTCTACGTAAAAGACACGTCCCAAGTCACCTTCCTTGTGTGCAGACCAATGCAGGTTTTGAAAGCAGAGAGTGGACATGCACACGGTTCTATTCAACTTTTACTGAATTAAATTACATTGAAAAAAAAACATTCCACTAACGTTGAAGACAACGGTAGAGAAACTGCATCGGCACATGTGGTTAAATATTTACCTGAATACACGTGAGTTAGCCAGGGAATGTCGCTAAGACACCCCCGCTACGCTGTCAAACATTTCTGGTTAAGTTAATTGATCGTAGTTACTGTTGTCAGAGCAATGCTAACTTGCTAGCTTATTTTGGACGATAGCAGTGTTGTTTATAATCACTAACTAGCTATAGTTGACTTACGTTAATATGCTTCCACCAGCTTAAATGAATCAGAGATATTTAGAAAGTCAATATCAGGCCTGTTCAGGTGGTATTTGAACCTGTTGAATGCATTTTCCCTGCTGTCCGTTCAAATGCTCAGTTTTCCTTCCTCTTTATATGCTACAGGTGCTAAGTTTACTCCAGTATTAAAGTGCAGTTAATAATTCATACTTTAGTTTTCTCCATATTATAATAAATTACACACACGTATATATAAAGGGCTGCACAATGTTGGAAAAAACTGACACTGCAGTTTCTTCTAACCCTGTGATATATGTTGAAATGTTATTTTTTTAAATCCAGAAACTTTCAACAGATAAATTGAAGCGCTCTAAGTTCTGCTGCCCTCCTGCCATGTGGTTGACAGTGAACCTGCATTGATCTCACCTCTGTGTGTGGATGTGGGTTGGCATCAACCAACCATTGAACTTTCTGACCTCTAGAGAGCTTCATAGTTCAACTAAGTCACTGACAAACAGGTCACTCACATTTTTATTCAACAACTGAAACCTTTTACAGCAAAACTAAACATCTTTCTTTGTATCAAAAATGATTTAAAATCAGATGAGAGCAGCTCTACATCAGATCCATCAGTGGTCCACAGCCCCTTGTTCTGTAAATAGTGAAAATAATAAACAAGCTATAGAACATTTTTAATAATTGTACAAAGCCTTATTTATATGGTATTTTTAATGTAGGTCACTTGTTTCATCAGTTTCATTTAGTGTGTTGTTTACACTGAAATAAAAGCTTGAATACATGCATACAGTTTGTGTTGCTGTATGAAATTCACTGTGATGCTCGGGGGCGCCAACCACAATCCTGCCTAGGGGACCAAATTGGTCAGGGCCGGCCCTGGGGTTGATACACACATTTCAACCAGAACACTTCATCTCTGAACACAGAACTCGTTTCCTCCCTGAGCACTATGATTGCTGGACATTCCCATGGTGTTTATACTTTATATAACTGTTTGAACAGATGAACGTGGAACCTTCAGGCATCTGGACATTGTACCCAAGGATGAACCAGACTTGTGGAGGTCCACAGTTCTCTTCCTGATATCTTGGCTGGTTTCTTTAGATGTTCCATGTTGTCACCAAAGGAAGCAGTGTGTTTGAGGTGTGCCTTAAAATACATCCACAGGTGTGCCTCCAGTTAATTCAGATGTTGTCAATTAACCAATCAGAAGCTTCCAAAGCCATGACATCATCATCTGGGCTTTCCCAAATATTTTGAAGGCATCTTAGTGGATGTTTTCTTTTGACTTTGAAGAAAGTAGTTTAAAAAAAAATTAAAAATCTCTTTAAAATTCTCTCTCTCATTATTCTGGTGTTTAGTAACTAAAAATAATTTTGGTAATCTTAACTGACCTAAAACAGGAAAAGTTTAGTCTGATTTAATGTCAGACAGTGAGAGAGAGAAAAAAAAGGTTGTGTGTCTTTTATACATTGGATGTAAACTCCTGGTTTCAACTGTATTCCAACACAACCACTGCAATAATTTACAGGTTTATTTTGTACATTTATGGGACTTTTTCATTCGCTGTAAAACCCTCTTAAGCCAGACTGTAGCAGCAAGAAAAATCTACATTAAGTACCAGGAAATACCATCACATACATTAAAAATGATTACATGCACACTGTGAAATTCAATTCAATTCAATTGTATTTGTATCGCGCATATTTACAACAAGTCATCTCATAGCGCTTAACAAAGGCAGGAACACCCAACAATCCAGAACATTTGGATTCCCTATAAGCGTCAGCAGTCCGCAAGCAGTCCACAACAGTGGGAAGGAACCGAAAACCCCCACGGGGAAAAAAAAAAAACCTCCGACAGAACCAGGCTCAGGGAGGGACGGCCATCTGCCTCGACCGGTTGGGTGGATGTGGGATGAATTATACAATTTAGTGTACAGCTAAACAAGTTATTAGAGGTTGATTAGAAGAAGTGAGACTGTATTAATTTTAAAAAGTAAGTAAGACATGTTTGAATGTTTTTGTTTTTTTTTTTTTTTTTGGCTTCCGTTGGCCAGTTGGTTTTCTTCCAACCAAAGTTTTGGGCGGTTTAAAAAAAAACAAAAAAAGCTGCAGAATTACTATTTGTTGTTAAATGCTGTCCTCTAGTGGTCATTGTGGGAACTTCAAGCATGTGCAGGCAAAAGAAAACATCACAACACTGTTACAATGAAGCTGTGACAGTGACCTCAGACCTCTTATCAGCAGTCTGCAGGCGGAGGGTCAGCGTCGGCTGCAGTTTTTCCACCAGCTCAGTTTCGACATGAGAACGAACTCCTGCAACATGTACAAACATCAAGTGTTCGTCTATGAGCAGCGATTGACTCATTCTATGCTGTCATGTGAGAAGTGTTCACATGAGTTGCACATTCCAGTGAGGAGAGCAGATTCACAGAAGGAGCAAGACGCCGATGTGTTTAAAAGCTTTATTTATGTACAATAAGACACTTGTGGCTCTCTACCATCCAGAATGGCAGTTAACATATTTACACATATTTACATGACAAAATAACACTTCTATCTGGTATTCACTCAAAAATGAGAAATATCCATTCTACAAAGTGAATGTTGCTTTAGAATCTTTAAAAAAAAATAAAAATAAATGTAACTTTATGGAACAGTAAAGTTTTATATAATTTTTTTAAACAAAAAAGTGTTTTAATGATTTTAGTCTGTGACATTAGCCCTAAGCACTAAGTAACTGTTGACGAGTTTACATTTATGCTGCACACGTTAAAAAAGGCAATGATGTCACTGTGCTGCTAGAAAAGTTTGTTAATGTGAAGTTAAATATAACCTGTAGAACTCACTTTTCTTAATATAAGAAACGCACAAACGTATGTACAAGTGGACGGTAACGCGGGACGCCAACACCGTCCATGTGCAGTGGAAGGCAGCCTGTTGTGAATGAAAGGATGTGTCATTCTCAACATTACACAGTACAACATGAGAGCAGGCAACTCAACGCAAACTAGTTTTAAAGTTGGTTATATGGTGGAAAATATTTTGTTCCTGTTAATACATTATGTGAAATCATTTCATCAGTTGGATTATGTACAAATAATAATGAAGAATCTAAACTCGGAGCAAAAGCAACAAACATGGTAAATGTAAGATTTGTGTATGTTGAAAATGTCACATCGTTCATAAAAAGTTTCACTTCTTTACTCATATTTTCTCATCGTACTGAGAAACCGGCGCAGCTCCCTTTTAACTGATTAATAAAGTACCCAATAAAGTCCAGATACTGACCCCAAATCCCTGGATGGCTGATTTATAATTTAAATAGAAATCTGCCCACAGAAATCACTTAAATCACCAGATCTCAGTGTGGAATATTGGTCATGTTTTGCCAAATCCATGAGTAGACTTCTGCTGCCTTACAACAAACCAAACAGATACCAGCTGTGTGATATAATAACACAGTATTATTATGTGCGTCTTTGTTTACAGGTTGAAACCGATGGTTTTGATTAATGATGGTCTCTTTCATGACAAAGCAGTGTGCGTTTTGTTGACCAGGTAAGCTTCCTCTAATCCCAAAATTCCCTTTAAAAGGAACACACACAGTTCTTTGGTAAATTTGCATCAAGTATGTAATCAAATCATTCGTTAAATGATGTGAATGTTGGAACCAAAGTCATTCATTTGTCTCCTGTTTGCCTTAATATGCTAATTTTTTTAGCATTTCCAATGTCAGGATATATTTACTGTTATTACATTACAAATCGAGTTGGTAATAACCAGAAACACTCCCAGTACCTGCATATACAGACCGCCTTGTTAGCAGCTAGTTACATGAAAGACATATTTCTTATCAAGACAAGTGTCAACTGTTTAAAGTTCTAACATGAAACTTGCAGCAGCTCAGGCTCTGCCCAGGAACACATGGGTGACTCTGGTGTCCTCATTCCTATTATTTAACAGAAGCATGAAGTCATTTCTAAAAACATCACTGACCAACCAAATCTTTGTCTGACAAGAAAGTCAGTGGTGACACGGAGACAAAATAATTTACCAAACAACTGAGTATGATTCCTTCACCGTCAAAATGTGACTCAAAGACTCCTGAAGAACTGCAGGGAGAGTTCGTAGAACAGAAACATGGTGGCGCTCATCGGGAAGCCTCGGATGGCGTTTACGGACGCGCCGCGGAAGAAAACCTACACAGAAGAACAATTTGTAGTTAGAATGTTTTGCTTGTGATTTTTCAAAAAGGTGACGTGTCCAACATTCCTCTCCGTAAAGACCTTCTTACAGTAGATGTTTGGACTTGTCGTAGATGTTACTTAAATCCTTAAAAGTGGCTCTACTGAAGTGGAGTCAGATGAACAGTGGATGTGTTTTTCTACTGTGACATCATGTTGTTACCTCCCAGGCCGTCCTCTGCTTCCTACTCTGACCTCCAAGACTGGAAGCAGGACTAAACAACATGCCTCACTGGCGCTCTAGCTCCAGTGTACTGTGTTCTCAAACGGAAATTTAAAAAACAGTAAAGTGCCTTTCTGAGTCGCTGGTTGCCTGGCAACCTCTCAGTAACACTGAGACTCCAGGAAGTGGCTGCTGGTTGCTGTAGTTTCTGCACAGATCTCCCTATAAAACTACAGCCTGCGTTTAGTGTTTGTGCACCGATGAAACAGGGCAGATATAAAATGTTAATTAGTGAATCTGGAAGAAGAAGAACAGTGTTGACTGTGGGAGCCTCCTTTATGACGGACCTCCAGATTGCATCTTAACACCAAACCAGCGTGCTGACTACTGTGTACAGTAGTGGGCGCTGTTTCGCTGGAACATTAAATTGCTAAATGCTGTCATTTGAAGAAATACTTTGCTTTGGATGACACTGTCCTGTAATAACCTAAAAACTGGCTGATCTGTGAGCATCAGGTCACATGAACAGTTCAGGGCTGTTTCTCAGACTATCAAAGTTCTGCTGGTATTGATCCGGTGACTGTGGTGTTCACCAAAACAAACTGAAGCTTTTACATGTTGGACATGGGAATAGTTTGTCTAAAGGACGAGTCTCTTGTCATTTACAATAACAGAGATTAATTTCTGATCATTTCTTTCACCAGTTAAGCGACCATCTAGATATAAAGTGAAGTAATGGTGGGTCTCATACAGTATCTGCAGGTCTTTATGTGACAAATCCTTCATTAGACTAAAATAACTGCTCCTCTGCTGCATAAAACACAACTTTGTGGTGTTGGTGTACTGGACTGTTTCAGCTGGTGAATGTGTTCCTTTAGCTTAAATAATATGTACATTTTTTCCAATAGTGAGCTTTTTTTCCAATAGTGAGCTTTTTTTCATATACACACTATATTTGTGGATGTTGTGCTTTAAGTTGTAACACGATCTTCTCCCAAAGAGGCTCGTCTTTTATTCGCTGCCAGAAATCACGTGCTTTGACACGTTTGAGGGGATCGAGTTCCGAGAAGCACAGCAGGCCTCCCGTCTGAGTTACGCTGTTCGGCGAGTCTCACGTTTAAATGATTAAACCATCTGCTGCGTCTCCACTTAAAGAGCCGTTTGTTTGTTCACTTGTTTACTAGTAACAGCCAAACACACAATAAAAATCTGGGCATCACAGGGTCTTTCCAGGTAAACAAACTAATGAAGTGTGTTCTGTCCTAAAATGAACCCTGATGTCAGAGTGTGCTACGACACAATAAATACGCCTGTACCCTTTATTTTCTGTTTCTAACATCTGCTTCCTGGGTTTTAATTCAACTAATGAGCTGAGGTAATTAATCATCTATGTTGTAGGTTGCTGCACTTCATTATTTGTCAGAATTGGGGGTTCTTCACCTAAACCTCTGGAAATATTCAACATTTCATCTCGATGGTCAACTGATGATCAAATACAAGGCCTACTTTGGAAAACAGTTGTCACTCATTTGTTGTGTGCAGTCTAATGCCACCAAATCCAAAACGGTTCTGCTGCCATGTCTACGTTTATAACATCAATATTGTTCAGTTTTGGAGGTTTTAATGAAACGACAGGTTCTCGCTCTGAGCAGTGGTGTTGGACTGGACTGCATTCCATTCAGAGGTGTTTCTAACAGTCTGCTGTTTACTGCTACAACCTCCGAAAAACACATGTTCAACGTTTCTAATTTGCTATCACAGCAGCGTCTCTGCTCACCTGTGCACCCTCTGTCTTGTAGCTGTGGATGATGCAGTGTAGAATCCCGCTGTACTTCCTCTGCAGCTGGGCGTCGGCCTGCATTCGACTCTTCACCACGTCGGCCGGTGTGGCGGTGACCCACGAGATGGATCCTGAGGAAGAGGAGAGACATCTTCAGCTCCCGTTGACTGTCGTTTGAAGTAAGGCGTAAACCGAGGCAGGTTCAAGTTCATGCCAAACTCAAGTAATTCAGAAAGTTGGATATACAGTATATATAAATAAAATGTACATGAAAGCAGGTCTGTGGTTCATTTTGCTTTTTAACTTTGAACACGCTGCAACGTAGACGTGTCAAAAGTTGCATGTTTCAACTGCAAAACACTGACTTTGAATGGAGCACAGCACAACCCCGAATAAAAATATGGATCCTTCAGGCTCAGATGTTTAAAGTCCTCAAACGAGACTGTGTGACCTCACACACAACGGTGCGTTTAGGTGCTCTGACAAATCATTGCTAAAAAGTCATATGCTTCTTGAAACGGCCAATCAAGTGGTACAGGTATGCATATGCACCTCGGCTGACACATACGGTACGTCACCAGTCGATTAGGATTCACAAAGTAATCATACATGACAATCTGTTGTTTATACACTGAGAGGAAAACACACCCATGAAAAGTGGATAGAAAAGCTTTAAGAAAGAGTTCAATGATGTCAACGTGAGAAAGACTGGATGATAGATGGGATTAGTTAGAGGCTTAAACTGAAAATGCTCCAGCCGTGACTTTATTTACTCAGTGAAATAACAAAACTGTTCATCTTGAGTGTGCTACAAAGGCGACTATTACACAGCTCAGCTCCAATGCTGAGCTGCGGAGCTGCTCTCATTTATTTAAGATAATGTCAGAGTTTTCGATTTGGTTTGGCGTCGGTGGATAAATTCATACTCAGGCCTGATGGTGGGCTGAACATCTGAGCCTCACTGATCTATGGCACCCAGCTGATTTCTCTCCATCACGTTTTGACTCCGTCACGTGTTCACAGCTGGCCGGTCTGGAAGCAAACCTGGCTGAATGTCTCAGACCAAAACACTCCCAAATCAAAGCCCGCAGGCTTTACGCTGTCTACCCACGCTGCACACACACAGCTCCGATCCAGGCCGCACCATGTGGTTGGTTATAAGTTCACACACCTTGTCCTGGTTCTGCATCAGATGGCATTTTACTTTCAAAACCCCACACATATTGATTTCTTATAATTACGCTGCCTGGAAATGAGGTCATTGTGGCAGTGAGTCAAGAGAGGGTCCGTGGTTCTTATGTCATCTGTACAGAGCGTCACAGACTGTTTCACAGGTCAATAAAAACAACAACAGACATACTTTGGGTCATAAAACAGCAAACAGACGTCAATAAAAGGCCCATCAAACAAAGATGTACCATCGATAGCAGCGGCTGCCTGGATCAAGACCAATGTAGGAGGTTGTTTAAACAGTTCAGAGGTCTGAGATAAAGCACGGCCAAAAAACGAGTACCGGAACCATTTCATAACCCATTTCTAACATCATCCTCTTACTAACATAAGATATGCACTTTTTTTCTACTTCAGGAGGCTTTGATTTGTTTTTTAATGTAATTTGCAGCTAAATAGAATCCTTCTATATTTATGTATCAAGTTGATTTAAATCATTGCTACAGCATTTAGTCAATCTATTAGTGGGAGAAAAACATTATCTACAACTATTTTGATAATTCAGTGACTATTTCAGTGATTTATTTTTGAAAAAAACATTAAAAAATTGTTTGATAGTAAACTGAACATGCTTTGGTTTTGGGCTGATGGTCAGAAAAAAAAACATTCGATGACTTATGATTGAGCAAATCCTTGTTTTTGGAAGAGCTAAAACACAATATCAACTAAATCTAACTAGAGATGAGTAAATACTCTCTGTGTGGAAGTAAACCTGCTTGTTCTACAAATATTATTAAATAAATAAATGCTCAGAAATGACACTGATAATTATCTGCTTCCCTTAGAGGGAGCATCTTCATGCTGTTCAGATAAAACAAAAGGAATAACAACAGACTGAACAATTTACTGATCGATCAAAGAGCCGTGTGGCAGATTTTTCTGTCATTACAGAGACGCATGTTCGCTGCTGATTTACTCCCAAGCTGCTGTTTAACAGACTGACCCAGAGAGATTTCTGGCCTTCACTCAGAAACTGTTTGAGAACTTGCCAGACCTGATTTAGCTGGAAGTGAGCTGCTGGCTTCAGTTGCTGGACGGTTCAGCGGAAATGCAGCTGTGGTGAGATTAAGTGTTTGATTTGTGATCATTTACTAAACTCCTGTATTTAACTTGGTAAGTCCCACTGAGGTTAGCAAAGCTCATTTTAAGGGAGGCACTATGGGTTATCTAAAGGGTCTTGAAAAGTCTTCAAATCCAAAACAAATTCTCTGTATGAGTCTCGCGTGGTATCAAAAACAAATGTGTAACTTGAAACTTAGCTTAAAAGAAAAAAAAAACTATGAATCCAAGTCGGTGAATTCGTCCATTTTCTGCTGCTTGTCAGGGTCTTGTTTGTTAAAGAGTTGTGAAATTTAATCCTATGTGGCCTTAAAACCATCAATGTAGTGTGTGTGAGCAGGTCTTCCTATAGAAAACTGCAACATGTCTGCTCCATAATGTGACACGTCTCTCAAAAACTGCTGAACTAAATTCCCAGAGGAACACAGCTAACAAATATTTACAAGCAAAGCTTCCTGTGCCTCAACATATAAAACAACATCACGATATTATCTGATCCAGACTCACGCCAACGACCGCAGAGCCAAAGCAAATAGCCTGACAGTACCTCTGACAGCAGAGTCAGAAACAAGGACTTAATTACCCTCCGTGTGCACACACTCGACAGTAAACCCTGACTCAACAACCGCTGGTCAGGACAGTGTTGCTACACCACTGTGGGAGTGTTTTTCCAACAGCTGTCAGAATCAGAACTCCCACGTCTACATTCCTGATTGAGACACACAGTGGCTCTAACGGCTGAGTGGATCAGTCCTATATGACTCAGTAAACCTCAGACTTGCTGCACTGTGACCTGTCATAAGCTGATGCATCACGAATTAAATATGTTAATACACATATGTGCAACATCACCAGTAAGATCACACAGAAAACATCCGAGCACACGTTGCAGCGGTGACGGATAAAGCTGGACATCATTTGCGACATTTACCCGCCAAGCCTCCAGCCAGCCAGATGGAACAAGGGTGAGGGCTCGACATCGGGTCCGGCTTCAACAGGTCACAGAAGATGGTGTAAGGGATGAAGTAGAGCGTGTATCCAGGGACGTCCCTCAGGATCATGGCCCCGGCCCCCCTGTACAGGCCCTGGAGGCCCTCGGTCTGCAGGATGCTGCTGATGCAGTGGATGGGGCCCCGGTACAGCCGCTGGCCGGGGATGTCAACGGAGCGCAGAGGGATGTTGGTGCCATTTGAAACATTTCCAGCAAGGTGCAGGTTCTCTGTAGAACGGGAGGAAAAGCTCAGCAGTGTCTGTGGACTATCTGTTGAAACTGGCAGAGCTGAAAAGAAGCTCTGATATTGTTTGTTTGAAACCTTAGAAACATGAAGCTGTGTTTGAAAGTACGCACACAAAAGGTGATGGGTTTTGTGTACTTTGGTGTTTCTTTCTCCACATTGCAAAAGAAAACTTTGTTGTCTAGAACGCTGGATGACTCAGCAAAGACATAAACACCAGGGTCTTTCAGTTGTCGCTCACCTACTACAGCAGTTCACTAATTTATTAGACCACCTGTTTAGTTTGTGAAGCTCTGTATTTATCTACATACACCATCCAGCATCATGAGGTGCTTTAATTCACACTCAGCTCTCCACGTTTTACCATTTTGAACAGGGATGAGGAATTTCAAACTGAATTCACCTTTTCATACATAAATCTGAGCCCCTGGGCTTCTCTGAGGAGTCAGACATGAATCAAGCATCACATTCAACCACTAAAACTAATGTTTCTGTTCAAGAATGAAAGTAAATAACTATAATGCGACATCTTAATCAAGAAATAATAATGTGCTTCAGCTTTAAAAATATAATTTGGGTTAAAGAAAAATAAGAAATGATTTTGGTGATTACTAATGTTGTTAATTTAGGGCAGCTAACCTGACACTGGGTGGTGGTCTGATAAATATGTTAAACGCTGTATGTGTGAAGTGAAGCCACCAGTCAAACCGTTCTTATTGAAAGAGACAGGATACTGTTGAAACGTCTCTTCAGGACACCGTGGTGGGCAGTTACAATGACTACTTTGTGTTTCTGTTCATGGTCCTGTTGTATGTATCTGGCACATCCAGTAACATTATGCTGAGTTGACATTTTCCTGACAATGAGAACAATTAAACTTTCTGGCACTTTGCACCTTCATAAAACAGTCTGAATCTCCTAAAGTCAAGGCCGAAGTGTTTCTAAGGGAAGTACATGAAACAAGTAAGTGATCCCACGATAAGAAGTACGAGCCTGACAAACACTATAAACAAATAAAAGGTCATAAATGTTTCACGTGCCGATCCAGCTCACAATCTGAACTGACGTGACCTCAGCTTTACTGCTGAACAGAAAGATGCAGCCCAGACAACATGACTCCTTGAGTTTTAGACCCATCACACAGGCTCTCTGCAGATTCCTAAAAAGTTTACACACAATAAATATAGAAGCCCTTAAAGTTGATCTCTTAAATGTCTTAAAACCAACACAGCAGAAGAGACTGGTGTTTTATTGTCGTGTGTTAAGTAGCAGGACACCTGGCTGGAGAAGACTCGTGGCTTTTGCATAAAAATCTGTATTTTTATAGTATTTGTTTACATTTGGTTCATGGAATCACTTCTTATACAAAATCATTTTTATGGTTCTGCTGGGTTTTTTTAAGCCAAATGTTAAACTTGGTTAAAAGTGAACCAACTGGAAAAGAGGCCTTTACTTAAATTTAATCCCACTGGTCCTAAAAAGTCCAACATTTAATGACAGAAATGCTTCCAACTCTTGGCAATGACATTAAATGAAGTTTCACATACTTCCAGTCAGCTGCCGTTTCATTTCTTCCTAATCAACTTTAACCTTTATCAGAGCTTCAACCTCAACTCGTCCATTTCAGCAAAAGTCTGACAAATACAGAAAGCTTTTAAAGTGTTTTTGCTTCATTAGGGGCAGTTTTAAATTGCAGCTGCTATGTTTTATGAGCGCTAGCATTTAGGTTTTTTTTTTTTCATTGTTTTATGTTCTGCTTACCCAATAAAACTAGAGAAACACTGATCACAACGTATCCAACACAAGCAGAGCACGTACAGTACTGCTGACCTTTAAAAGCCACATTTCAACTCACATGTCACATTTTTTCTTGTTAATGATATTCTTATTCAGCTTTCTGTCCTCTTATCTCAACCTCAGAAAACAAACATGTATAAAAACAAGACACTTCTTGGTTGAGACACAGACCATGTTGATACGACTGAAAAAAAAAAACACAGAAAAGCTACAAATGGTCTTGTTCTGTTCTTTGTTTTTGCTGCTCAACAGAAAAAAAAAAAAAAACATACAAAAAAAGTACCTGCTAGAACCGTCTGCGTCTGCATTTGCAGTCTGATCTTGACCAGATCCACCGGCGCTCCCAGGCCCACGGACATCAGTCCAGTCAGCATGCTGGCCACAGTCAGGTCCAACATGCCACAGGGATGTCGCCCATCGCCATAGCGATACTTGCTTATGAGTCTCTGAGTGTTACTGAAGAAGCCAAAAACAGCCGAGTTGTAGACGGTGATGCTGGCCAGTGGGAAAGACATGCCCTTAAAGAACCCCGCGACCTGAGAGTCAAGGAGACGAGAGGGAAACATTATTGTTACTACATTTTTAAATCTACAATAGATAAAAGAAATACACAGGCTTAAGAAAAGTAAAAGCCTGAACAGCACAGATTTTAGCATCACATGCACTCGGAGGACTCTCGCCTCTGCGTGCCAACAATGCACAGAATGAAAAATGGGTTAAAGCTGCTGCCAAATATTTTGGCCTCTTTTCTTCATGGAAAACATTTTCTCCTGGCAGAGGGGAGGTTCAAGTCGGGGGAGACACATGCTAAAAGTCAAACACAGCTGGCTGAATAGATCCTCTGTGTGCTTTCTGACAGGGCTCACACTGACACATGTGGTGCATCAAACAGCTCTGAAAATGTACAAAAGTTACTAAATCACAAGGACAAATAGCGCCCCGTCAGACTCATACAACACAGAGCTGCCTTTTCTTCAGCTCCCACCAACAAGACGCGGGCTGAATCGGGTCGGCTTCACGGTTCAACATGTGTCACCATTTTATTGTGTGCTGTGGTAACGACTCTATTGTTCCCGTGCTGTTTAAGCTTCTACAAAAACTTCACGTGCAACATGTGGCTTTAGGCGCTCCTGTTGAGAAACTGGGTCACTGAATCGACACAACAAAAACAGAATAACAGCTTCCAGATGGGAGCTGTAGAGAAAACAAGCGACCACAACTCCACCATTTGAACGACAAAATTACAATGTTTGAATGAAAAAAGGTTTCTTACAATTCGTGTGAACAAAACAACAAGTTTCTGAGAAGACACAAAACGCTCAGCGTTGTTGTTGTGACCTTCTGGTGAGGTAACGCTGGAACAATTAACTGATTAATTGATTAGCAGACAACCAATGTTTCAATGGATTAAATGTTTCGTTTCTAATTCCCTTGCTATACAGGTTTTCTATTCTTTTGAACAACCTTCCTGGTCACATTTGCTTTCGTTGCCATCACCATCTCAAGAGAGACATCTGATCATCCTGAATTCATTGCAGCACGACTTCCAGCCAGCGTGGTCAAAAAAAAAAAAACTGCAGCCACAGAAAGAACAAGCAGTACCACAGCAGATGTTCTCAGCCCCACAGAGGCCTGATCACTGTAGTCTGGGTTAAAGGAAGAAACAGAAAACAGCCTGAATCCACTAAAGAAGTTCTCCAAGAACACTGGAAAAGATTTTTTACTGCACTATGGACATAAACTCAGACCTTCTTGCTGCATATTTTAAGGCATTCTTACGTTGCAGTTACAGATTAGACGGTGACCTCAAACGCTTTTCTTCTGACTCCCAATGACCAGTTTAATAAGTAGCTCAATCTCCCAAAAATGCAAAAGCAGAAACATCAAGATGAATGCAGCGTTTCATTTGAAGCTTTTCTGCTGATGAGAAAACATCTCGCCTAAAGCCTTGTCCAGACGTGTAATTATTATTATTTTTTATTTTTTTTAGATTTTTTAAAAAACCATTTCCCAATACTCGCCGGTTCACGTCCCAGTCAGGACACCCGGGACCTTTCAGTGCCCAAAGGTAGCTGGGATAGACTCCAGCCCCTCCACTACCTCAGTGAGGATGAAGCGGTGTATAGATAATGGACGGACGGATGGATTTCCCAATCCACACAAAAATGAGACCCTGTTTATGTTAAAGACACGAAACTAGCATCTGTGTAAAAAAAACAAAAAAACATGTTTAATCAAACCTGCAGAATCAACCAACAGCTCAAATCACAGAAACCTCTAATCCATTTGTGAAAACACAAAATGTAACCGAACCGGAGCAATCAATAAACCTGGACGAGACGAAAACACAACATTTCATAGATTTAATTTACTTTTACTGTTTTCTTGATCAGTTGATTCGTTACTTTGTCCAGAAAAAGCACATTTCTGAAAGCTTGAGACGACTTCCTCAAATGTCTGGTTTTGTTTACAACCCAAAGAAAGGAAGGAAAGAAAAAACAAGAAAATATCCACACTGAAGCAGAAGGAGAGAAAAAGAAAAACTGATTTTTTTTTTTTCCCCCAGTGATTAATTGATTATCAACATAGTTGCTGATTAATTAAATAACTGACAACTAATCGGTTAAGTTGCAGCTTTAATGATTTATGGATGTTTTTAAAAACATTTCACAACACTGGCGGTGGGTTATGAAGAAGCTCAAGGCGTCATCTGGAATGTCTCGACACATTTTACCACAACAAGCGAATCAAGAAACAAGATGTCGCTCAATTTTGTTCCTCAAGCTTCGTAGCTGGACGGCATTACTGACGTGTTAAATGCTCTGAAAATCACCTTATAGCGGCTTTAAATTACAGCCTAGACACCAAGCAGGACTGATGGTGAACATCAGTATCTGTGGGCTCGCTTCACGTACATTTGTCACGTCTTTTGGAGACATTTCAACTTTTTTAACACTTCAAATGCTCACAACCTGCTGGAGTTTCCACCAATTCTTCAGCTGTTGGGTTCGTTATGAAGGCCAGATTTGTACCAATAATGCAATGAACTTGGTTAAATTAATTTTTTAAAAATCTGGTTTTCTGGTCACAACAGTCATATTTGAGATGTCTTTTCCACCTAATGAATCTATGAGTCTACATTCAATTTGAAATAATGATCATTTAAAAGGACCCCATGCAGACAGGACGGCAGTTTCTCAGCACGTGTGTAACAGGATCAGTCGTGCAGCAGCAGTTTTATATTAAATATATACGTATTGTTTTATTAGTTATACATATTGTATTACTTATATATTTTATTTTACTGTTATTTTATTGTCATTACTTTTAATTAATAGAATACCACAACATCTAGTCTGCATTTGGTTTTGGTGTGGAACCTTTCACTTGGGGGTCTCAGTACCCCACGTTCGTTTTTGGTTGCCCACCGTAGCCCTATGAATGTGTTTTTCCCACCTTACCTCTCCCCTTTTGTACACGTATCCGATGGAGAGGTAAGCGAGACTGTGCTGCTGTTGTCTGTGTGTCAACATCTGTACATAATTTCATTTATAAGTTTACTTTCCCAGTTCTAATACGCTGTTCTGTCATTTAGTTTCTGTAGCAGTACGAGTTGAGACTGACAGAGGATTTTGTGGTTGTTTTATCGTCTGTCAAGTGTGTCAATAAACGAGATCGCCTCCAAATAGATCGGTGTTGGGCTCAACACAACGCAGTGCAGACACCACCAGTTACACGTGCAAGGTCAAATCCACTCTGCATTCATCGACGGTTCATGTAAACCTTTAAATAGCATGCAGTAATAGTAACCGTGATGCCAGCACATGTCATGTATACGTGGACATGCAGAGCAAGACTTCTGTGCTCCAAACATGATCACAAATTGAGATGTGAACACTGTAACTGTAATGAGCCCACTATTTTCTCTCAATTTGTCTTACTTTAGTTGGTGTAATACAATAAATGGAGAGAGAAGAAGTGTCGATGTTTACCGTCTCCTTTTTGTAGATGGTCAGGACGCAGTGGAGAGAGTTCTTGTAGCCCTTCCCTGCCTGGAGCCGCGTCTGAAGGAAACAAACCGGCCAACAGTTAAACACACAAAGCCGATGTCTTTTCAATTTACTCAAGTCTTCATGTTATGAAATGAATCCACCTTTATTCTGTTTTATCTGAAGACGATGGGCAAGTTTAACATAGTTCCCATAAAGAGCTTGAGTGAGAGAGAGAGAGAAAACCACAATACACTGCAGACATGAACCTCTCCTAACAACATCGGCTGTCATATTATATACCTGCAAGCTTCTAGCATCTCACTGCAAGTATCCACCTCAATCCTCAGTATCACAAACCTGCTAGGTCTCCATGGTAACTGATGCTGTGGAGCTAACCTGGTCCGGGGCAGGTTATCTGAAGAGTCTCCCTTTAACCAAAGCGTTTCCTGATTATTCTTTATGAGCGATACTGATTCTCAGCTGGGGGAATGAGTTTCATCTGCAAACCTGTTGAGCTGTACGTGACTAATACTGCTGACCAACGCCGTGTAGTCGCAGCATCGCTCGCTGTACGCATCATCACATAAAAAAATCACATAAAGGAGTTTTTATTTTTAATGTTTAAACTTCTGATAGAACACAGATTAGAAAACTGATTATTCTACAGAGAATATTCAATCAATTACGTTGACTTTGCTTTGATTTACAAAAAGGTTTTTAGATGCAATGCCACTGCACACATCAGTTTGACCTCTTTTGAATAGCTTGGTTTTATAATTCATTTAAAGGTCCCATCTGTGAGGTTAATTATCTGCAGACCACTTCAGTCTAGCTGTGTTCTTATTCATCAATTCTCTGAGCTTTCATCCTTTTATTTTAGGTGATTTTAACAGACATGTCTGCTGCCCATCCCAAACGTTGTCTGCAGACTTTCTAGAGACGATCAACTCGTTTAACCTCTACCTGGTTTTCCACAGCGGTCTCAGCCCCTTCAATCTTTCCACCAAGGATATCTGTGTGTCTGACCATAAATTCATTTTATTTAGTGTCATTTTAGCAGTTTTACCTGCTTGTCAGAATGCTCCCATCCGTCATCGTGTTTTTAACTCCGCATCCACGGTAAAATTCTCTGAGCTTTTTGTCTCTGCTTCTTCAACTGCTTTTAATTTTAACACAGAGGAGCTGGTCTACACTGAAACACTCCAGGAGCTCTCCACAGGCCTGGCTAAATGACTCCACTCAGGAGCTCAAAAGACTCTAAAACAAAATGAAATGGAAGAAACTGAGTTTACATGGTTTTTTTATGAAATTTGGAAAGACTCGTTGAAGAAGTTCCAAATTGCAGTTAAAGAAGCAAGAAGCAGCCTTTTATTCTTCGTTAATTTTAGCAAATCATTCTAACCCCAGATTTTTATTTAACTCTTTTATCACATCCTCCCCCCGTCATTTTATCGACACCTCACCAGAAACTTGTGAACATTTTTAAAAATGTTTTTACAGACAAAGTAAATGACACCAGGCAAACGATCAGCCCCCCGATGTTGTTTCATCTACTTCTCGGCAAGTTTTTATTTTTATTTTTAGCAATTTTAATATGGTTTCTTTATCCTACTAAGTCAAACTAATAAGCAAGATGAAATCAGCCACGTGCAGTCTCGACAGTATTCCCGCAACATTTCTTAAAGAGGTTATTGAAACCATTGGGCCCAGCATTTTATCGATTATTAACAGCTCCCTTTTAACTGGTCACTTCCCCTTTGCTTTTAAACATGCTGTAGTCCAACCCCTTTTAAAGAAACCCAACCTCGACCCCTCTGTTTTTAGCAATTTTAGACCAATTTCCAAACTTCCGTTTTTATCAAAAGTTTTCGAAAAAGTGGTCTCTGTCCAGCTTTTAACTTTTATGTGTCAGAACAACATCTTTGAAAAACTTCCGTTTGGTTTTCGAGCTCGTCACAGCACAGAAACTGTCCTCCTCAAGGTCACCAACTGCTGCTGACAGAGGAGAGAGCTCAGTTTTAATTCTTTTAGACCAAAGTGCTGCCTTTGACACAGTAGACCACATCATTTTAATCGACCGTCTTAGATCCTGGGTAAGCGTCAGAGATAACGCACTTGACTGGTTTTATTCTTACCTTTTAAACAGAACCTTTCGGTCACCATAGGTAACCCTTCCTTCTCTTCAGCGCCTATTACCTGTGGTGTACCGCAAGGTTCAATTTTAGGTCCCATTTTATTTTCTATTCATATGCTTCCCCTCGGTCAAATTATTAGGAGCCACAATGTTTCTTTTCACTGTTATGCGGATGACACACAGATATACCTCCCACTGAGACCTGCTGAAAGCCTAGCTGCTGTTTTTAACTGTTTTAACAATACTAACTGTTGGATGGCTCAAAACTTCCTGCAATTAACCAACTCCAAATCAGACATCATTCTCTTCAATCCTCCAAATCCCCAGAACAGTCTTACCGCCAACAATCTCGGTCCATTTGCCACAAATGTTAAACCTGTTGCCAGAAACCTAGGAATCTTTTTTGACTAAGATCTCAGCCTCACCCCCCATATTAATAAAATCATCCAGTCTTGTTTCCTCCAGCTAAGAGCAATCTCCAAAATCAAATCAATCCTCGCTCAGTCACACCTTGAAAGAATCATCCATGCCCTCATCTTCTCCTGCCTGGATTACTGCAACTCCCTCTTATCCGGCATCTCAAAACCCATCTCTTGCCTCCAACTTGTCCAGAATGCAGCAGCTGGGCTTCCTACTGGTTTTAACAGGCGACAACACATCTCCCCTTTACTGGCTTCTCTCCACTGGCTCCCTGTCCGTTTTAGAATTGATTTTAAGATTTTACTGATCACTTATAAAGCTAGTCAGGGCCTTGCCCCTGGCTATATTTTAGACATGCTAGCCCCATATATCCCCACATGCAGCCTTAGATCCTTAGGTGGGTCCCTCCTAGTTGTTCCAAAGTTGACGCACAAATCCAAAGGCGACCAGGCCTTTCCTGTGAGGGCGCCTCGGCTTTGGAACGACCTACCTGAGGAACTAAGGCTGGCAGACTGCGTATCTTCTTTTAAATCACTTCTTAAAACCCACTTTTTTTAGACTCGCTTTCAAGTGATGTTCTATTTTTTTTTCTCTTTTAGATTTTCCCCGTTTCTTTTCCATTTTTATTGGTACTACCTGCCATCCTTCTCTTTTATCTTTCTTAATCTACTTTTATCTTCAGCTTTTATCTTCATTCCCCTGTGATGTTGTCTTTTTAATCCGTTTTATCAGTACACCCTTCAAGAGTGTCCCAGTCTGTTCTTTTCCATTTTATTGTGTGTATTTTATACTGACTGTTTGCCTGTACTTTATATACTTTTTTTTCCCTTTATGTAAAAGCGCTTTGTGAATTGTCTTCTAAAAGTGCTATACAACTAAAACTTATTATTTAATTTCTGCTAATGCAGCCCTTTAATGAGCTATTTTAACTGGAAACCACAGTGGAAAATCGCCCTCCTTTTCTCTTCCTGTTTAAATCGATTATTCTGAAACACTTTCTATAAAAACCTGGAAACCTGCGACATCCAGACATCTGTCCAGTCCTGCATATAACAAAACGATTAGATGGACTATTCTTCCCATATCTACTACAAAAACACTTTTTCCAGACAGATGGAAGTTCACCAGAATAAATCCTACAATGAACAACAAGTAAATATGTTCAACATGGCAAATGAGTCTTAATTGCTCTTGTATAACCACAGGATGTGCAATATAAAAGAGATTTGATGAGCTGCAGGTTTTTGTGCTTTTACACACCGGCTATAATAACGACTAGACGGTAATAAAAGTGGATGGAATCGGGTGACGTAGGTCTTAAATACCTTGACGGTATCCAGCGGATGACCCACAACCACACTGGAAGCTCCTGCAGCCAAAAGAGAAAGAAACACAAACACAGGAGAATAAAAATGAATTCACATAATACCAGAGGATGAAAAACAAAACAAAACATGGAACAGGCAAACTTTATGATAGTATGTGTTACTTCCAGTGATAAAAACACACCAAACTGTCTTTACAGTGCATACAGCCGCATACGTTACGCTAACTTTCATTTCTCTGTGTGGTTTGGTTTGTGACGAGCTTCATGCCACTAAAGCGTGTTTTAGTTAAACTGATAGAAAGACACATGGAGATGCAATGACACACTTTTAGTGAGTTTGCAGCAAGTAAATGGACATTTTGCTCTCATAGCTCCAGACTGGTCAAACGGAGCTGCCACCATGGGGCCCCGGGGCAAACATGGGCTATTGTGCCCATATTGACCCCCTGTTCCTGCTGCTGTCTGTTTGCCTCACTGCCTCCAAATATGCATCAAACACACACAGCTCATGGCAACACATTATCAAAGCCACGAACCCAGATTACAAGCAGCTCCGCTCAGTTCAGGACTTCTACAGCATGACAGACAACAGGAATGTTTCAGACGATGCAGCACAGCATCAGACAGCAGAACTCTGAATCCTGATCTGCTCATATTAGGTCAGATGGTGCACTGTACAGTTTGCAAGTGAGAAAAGATGAACGTGAGGCTACAACATGTTTAAACCATTTCAAAGCACAGCTTGTGTGTTCGCTGTTTTAGGAATTTGTAACACAACAAGTTGAAGGATCTCTTTGGGTTCGCCAGCAGAATGAAAGATGCTTTAGTTCAAGTAAAACTATTCATTCAGCTTGGATGTGCAGTTTGAGACAAATATAAGGACATATTTTGGTCTTTTTAAGGGTAATACCACAAGTAACACCTAAAATCAGCAAACTGTCGACCGCCAACACAAATGGTTTTGCTTAAATACAGAACTGTATTTCTGTCGTATGTCTTGTTCAGTATGTATTTTTTAATGGATTATGTTTCTTTTTTTGCAAGGCTTCAGTCTTTTTCAAACACTTTTTTTAAAAACAACATTCATCACAGACTATGTGCTTTATATTTACATATGAACATTATCTTTAGAACAGCTCAAATGTTGACCTTCTGGCTCTTAGATTTGACCCAGTTTTAAACTCTCCATCTGACTTGAAGCTTGAATTAAAATTTTACTCACAGATTAACTATGCAAACACAGTAATATGTATAGTTGGGAGCAGATCTCCTGAACAAACAACCAAATGTATTGGAGGCCTACTTCTTGTTTGTGCGACTGAAACTGGCGCCGCAGCAGCGCCCCTAGCGGCAAGTCCTGCCACTGCATGTAATTAACTTCAAAAAACTTGTTTTCTCATCAGAATAAAATAAATAAATAAAAGTTTCTGCCTCCTCAGTGCTGCCGAGACAAAGTCTGCAAGCATTTCAGGAGGAGAGAAAGGCTTCGAGGCAGTCAGAGTGTTGTTCAGAGTGTAAATGTGGGGGTCGGAGCTCTCAGCGGACCCTCCATTGTTTACACTGGAGGTGGATGCAAGTGGGGCTGCAGGAGTTTCTCTGCACCACACTTTGTAATAACGATGATAACATTAGTAAAGTGCCACTTTCTGAAGCTGTGTGCAGATTTCACCCAAACAAACTAGCAGCAACAAATTCGCCCAACTCACAGAGCCACTGAAAGGCTCAGTTCTGGCTAAAAATGAGTAAAAAATAAATAAAAAAAATAAAATAAAATAAAAAAAACAAGCTGGGAATCACTCACCGCCGATCCATCCCGCGACGAAATCATCCACACGAAAATCCTTGGATTTCTGCATCTTCAACTAAGAGTCCAACAAACTTCAGCTGATCGCCTCTCATCCAACTCTCGGAACAGTCCAGCCGCAGTGATGCGATAAACGCATGAGCTGCGTCTTTTATCGATAACGCGCCGGCCACACACGATTCTGAGAACACAAAATGATTTTAAACAGTGTCTGCCTTGATAAGAAAAGCAGCACAAGCGAGTTGGAAATAGGCCAATCAGAGCAAAGTATTGCTCTGAGTGACAGATCTCACGGCCAATCAGATGCGAGCTCACAAAGCAGGACAGCCAATAGGGAAGCTGTCATGGAAATGAGCCATGAGGAGGAAAGCTACAGAAACTCTCATCTAAACTTTGACCTGCTGAAGCCTGAACCTAAAAATATCACTAAAATGCCTAAATTCAACCTGTGGAAGAGCATTTTAATGAGCTTTTCTTCTAAAATACCAATAATGGCAAAAAAAAAAAAAAAGGCCTTCTAAAATTTGTAAGGATTAATTTTATCTTTGAGTGCACTCATCTAAAAACCTCAATCTGCTTCAAATAAAATGACATAAATGAGACAAAAAAGTTTAGCATGTTAACTCAATTATTGCCAAGCATTAGCAAACTCCAACCAATAAACACTTTTCAGGTCAGGCATAACTCTAAAACTGTCCGAAACTCATGTGTCTTGGGAAGGAAAAAAAATCTCTGAAGACCTGCGATGAAGAATTGATGATGTGCAGCAAGATGGAAAGTGTTCAGAGACCTACCAAAGAGATTAGATACTCATCAGTCCGTAGCTGGATAGACTTGTGCCAAATCAGGACTTAAACGTACATGTCAATATCTTTAGATCCCCAGCTGATCACTCAATGAAAAAACTATGCAGATTACGCACACTTATATTCATCATGGAACACATCAGTTGATCTTCAAGCATGTCCTAAAGATACAGAGGCCTCGATGTCTTGTCATTTTATACACGATATGCCCCTGAACTGATACATTAAGCACGTCTTCGTTCACCCTGCACAACATTGTCAAACTGATGTTGTGAATCTAATCCATGCAGGTCTTTGCTGGACTATTTTCATTCATTATTAGCAGGATGTCTCTGAAGAACCTTTGGTCGATGCTGTGGCTCCCTGAAAAATCTAGAATACAATTTAAAACTCTTTCTCCTAACACCATTCCAAGCTCCAATGCATCTTTAAGACCACCTTATCTCAGAAGAGACTGCATTCTCCTCTGTTGTGGAATTCTGCTGCAGGCCCAGGGACCTTCGTCTTCTTTCTCTTATGGCAAGTTCTCTGTCCTCTCGGCACCTTTCTGCAGGTATTTCAGACTCCAGAGTTCCAGAGAAGCAAACAGTTCTACAGTTAAGCCAGTGTTTGGTTGAAGTTTTTTTTATTTTTTTAATGTGGTTAAAGTTAGGCAAACATTTATTGTTATTAGTCCCTACTGAGTGATTTGTCCTTTGCTATTGACCCTTCTATTGATTATTAATGGGTCAGCTGCACTTGTAAGGCTGCTGCCTTGGTCATAATAACACATATAATACCTAAACCTGAGCGCCTGGAGGAAACTCACACAGACATGAGGAGAACAAACAGCAAAGTCATGCAGACTGGGGTTCAAACTCCGACCGAGACTCTGACCTGAGCTCTGTTGTTGTATTTTAGAGCTCAGACACATGTGAAGTCTGTGCGAATTCCTTCTATAATATCAGAATCCTGAAGTATTTCTTGGCAACAGAAGGAGAAATAGGCGATAATGGAGGACAACCAAGTGTTACCAATTTGATATATTTTTATAGATGTTCTATAACTTCTATACATAATATTTGACTCAGGGTAAAAATAGTAATCCCACATTCAGGGCCGGCCCTGACCAATTTGGTGCCCTAGGCAGGATTGTGGTTGGCGCCCCCGAGCATCACAGTGAATTTCACCCGTAATTGTCGTACAGTAACACAAACTGTATGCATGTATTCAAGCTTTTATTTAAGTATAAACAACACACTAAATGAAACTGAAGAAACAAGTGACCTCTTGTTGTCTTTACGACGCTCCCTGGCTACCTGACGTGTATTCAGGCAAATATTGAACCACAAGCGTGATGCAGTTTCTGTACCGTTGTCTTCAACTGCTAACGTTAGCAGCTAAGACGCTAACGTCTTAACGTCTTCGCTAACGTCTTCAAGGCTAACGTTAGCAGCTAAGATGCTAACGTCTTCGCTGACGTCTTCTCTGCTAACGTTAGCAGCTAAGACGCTAACGTAACGTCTTTGCTGCTAACGTTAGCAGCTAAGATGCTAACGTCTTCGCTGACGTCTTCTCTGCTAACGTTAGCAGCTAAGACGCTAACGTAACGTCTTTGCTGCTAATGGTAGGAGCTAAGACGCTAATGTCTTCGCTGCTAACATTAGCAGCTAAGACGCTAACGTAGCGTCACTGCTGCTAAAGGTAGAGAAACTGCATCGGCGCTTGTTGATAAATATTTGCCTGAATACATATCAGTTAGCCTGGTAGGCTTGTGGCGCCCCCCGTGGATGTCGGTGCCCTCAGCATTTGCCTGTACTGCCTATGCCTAGGCTCTGCCCACTTTGTAGAAAGTTTTTTATTTTTTATTTTTTTAACAAGGAAAAGTCATGCATTTAAAAGTACAAAAAGTAAAGAACTTATAATATAGCTTATTGCATAATGAATATGGATTATGCATTATTATATTGTATATGCATGAATGTTACAGCTGGTAAATGTTTAAAGCTCCTTTTTTTTTTTTTTTAACTTTTAATAACTGATTGTTTGTGAATACCTGCAAGGAAACTCTAAAATCGTATCTTAAGGAACCGCCAGATAAATTGAGTGAAGTTAAAAACTGTAGTGAGGAAGGCAAAAATGAAAATTTCATAAAATACTCAACTTTCACAAAACTGTGCTTCTGCTGCTGAACTTGTTCAAACTCTCCAAACTTTACCTAAACTTTTCACAAAAATCTTCTGTTCATGCGTTTAAAATGCTGCACGAGACGTCGGTCCTGATTCACCTCTTAAACCTGTCCACTCCTGGGATTGAATATTTCACACCAGTATGATTCAGCTCCAATTAAAGAGCAGCTTCAGTTAAAAACTAATAGGAAACGCTGATGTTAACGGTTAAATGATCTGTACGCTCATAGTAGAAGTTCATGTGTCACAGTCGGTGCAGAGACACTCCCCTTTTTTACTCCTCCACCTCCAGACGTACTCCACCCCGCGATAAGACGCTGATAATGGAAATGCAACACTTCCACACTTGGTGGAAAATTACCAGAAAACACAAGAGGCCTGCAACAGGACGCACACACACACACACACACACAATAAACAGCAGTTTCTCCTTTTTCTTTTCGTTTCGTTTCCTCAGTCTTCCCTCGTCTTTATTTATTTATTTGTTTATTTTTGCTTATTTTTTTATCTGAAAACTGAACATTTGAAACTCCAGGCGGATATTAAAGGCCTCTTGATGTATAAGGTGAATTATTTCTGTGTTTTTTGGCCATCCAGAATATAAAATTTGTCTGTATTTCCCTGAAAACACATCTCTCTTTGCTTGATGCTCGACAATCTGTAGCATCTATGTCTAATTCTCTTGCCACGTAAATGACACATCAGCTCTTGTCAGTATCTCTGACAGGCTTCATGTCTTGGTTGACTCCTTCATATGTTGTTTTTGTGTGTTTTTGTTGTTTGTTTCTTTATCTGTAATGGTGACAGACTCAAACACAGTTAACTGACTGACTCACATTTCTGTACTTTTCCTTTTGCGTACTTTGTTGCACTCCCTTCATGGTTGGAAAACCAGAGGTGAAACAAGAAAAGAGGACATGACAGCAGCAAAAGCGAAGGAAGCATTTTTTAAAAAGTATGAACTGTTTAAAAAAAGAAAGAAAAAAAAAGCCCCTCAAAATTCTAGGAAACTATCTTCAGTAAAGTCGTAAAAAATAACATTTGTTCTGTTCCCGTACGTATTTGAATTAAAGACTGAAAAAAGCAACTGCGTGTGAAAATAAAACCTTAAAAATGTGGCATCTGGTTGTTGTTTCAGGCTTGATACTGCGGTGAAGGCTTCTGTCACATGACTGCAGCATAAATCAAAAATATGCCCGCTGAAACCCTAAACTGCACGTTTAGTAGGGTTTCCGTGTCATCATAAAGAGGTAATCCACACCACAGGAGGTCTGGTTTTGCTATACATAGACACGTCAGGCTTCCTGGATGCACCCACAACTATTACAACTGTGTACAAATAGCCAAACGAATCACAGCTCCTATTGTTCAAACAAGACAGAAAGACATTCGACAACAAACGTTCACTGCAGTGCAGAATATGTGTTAGTTTCAGGAATGTGGAAATTAAAGTCTATTAAAAAAGATGTTCTGCATCTTTTAGTTTGTTATATCAACTTGTGAGCATGTGTAACTTCAGAGGAAGTGTATCTGGTTAAAGATAAAGGAGCAGTCTGGGTCAGTAACAAGCTGGCTATTAGATAAAAACGTGAACAAACTTTGCCAAAGGTTTTTCTTTTTTACTCCTGATGCAGGAGGCATTGCCCTAACCGCATTAAACATCTCTGCTATGTCAACCACAGGCATATTTTAGTTGGTTTTAATGCTCTCCATACAAACAACAGGGTTATTCGAAAGCCTGGAATTTATACAAATCAGATTGTTCGCTCAGTGGTGGATTATTTTACAACAACATAATCCAGAATCAGTCTTCAACATTTCCAGACGGCCCGTGCCACTATACATAGGCGGCGTGTCATGGTGGGGGTGTTTGCCGATGTCGCATTTCAGATGTTTCTGTATCAAATTCCATCAACAAACGTGCATCATCCAGGCTGCTGACTGCAGTGACTCAAACAACTTTATTCCTCTGATGTTTACCTCTGGTTGTTAGTGCCTTACATTTTAATGATATTATTTTTGTTCTGTTTTTGAATTAAAGAACCCAATTAACAGTCAGGTTTCTGATAAAATGGCAAATGGTTTCACTTATACAGCGCTTCTCTACCTTGGTGGTACTCAACTTTACAATGTGTTTCTCATTCACACATT